AAAAGTACTCCAGAGTGTTGTTCAGCATGGGGGTGAGTAGAAAATGAAGGCTAATCATGTTTTGGGTGTACTATTCCTTTAACAACTGGCTGAAAGATGAATGAATAAAAGGTAAAATGACCTCATGTAATTGTTTAAAAGTCAAGTTGTGCGTTTTAAACGAAAAACACTCCATTCACCCATCCTGTATTTGCTAAAATAAAAAAAAAGCAGCAACAGCTAAGTTGCCAAAATTGTTGAGAATTACATTTTTTTTTGCAATTGTCATTAATAAAAACTAAATGTAATACCCATCTTGCTTATCTTTCTGTTCTGAAAACAGTACACAGAAAATGTGTATTTTTCAATAATATTTAGGCTAGTGATTAATCGAAATTAATTCAAGAAACCTTCTGATTAATTAGATTAAAAATTTTAATCGTTTGACAGCCTTAATATTTATATATAATGTATATGTGTATTATGTGAAAGTCATGGGTACTTGTTGATGGCTATAAAATAATTTCTAAGAGCATCAAAAGAGGATTAAAAAGCATTAAATTAGAGTTACTCATTCGTGTATAAACCCTGTTATAACAGCGGCGTCCTTAAGGGCGGCTTCCTGGCTGGTAGTTTCCAGTTCTCCCAGTGGTGGTGAAATTCCAGCTGACACTGGGATTGTTTGTCTCTGTGACGGCTCTCTGATACCAGCTGCTCTCACTCCTCCATCTCTGATCAGGAGCCGCTTGTCTTTCCCTCTGATCAGAAACATTTCTCTGTTCTCAACTTTGTTTGAATTCAGGATCAATGAAGCGTAGCTGGAAGCAGGTGATGCTCTGATCAGTGACCAATCAGCCTGATGGATCACTGACCCCCATCCAGCTGGGTTTAGATTTCATTTTTAATGACATGTTCAGTGTTGCTGCTCTAATAAATGATATCTGCTAAATTTATATCTATGTTCATCTTCCCCTCTTTTTGTAACGATCTTTATGTGAAGCTCGACGCCTTCACTGGTTTACGGTTCATTTCGTCGCCGTCGTATCGGATCCATACCCCCAGCGGTCCAATGGGGATGTAACAATTAATCAGGTTAATTGATTATTTAAATAATCGTTAACTTATTTAGTAAACAATCGTTAACTGGAGTTTATCTGGTTTTCAGGTTTATCTGGAACCATTTTGCCACAGAAATGTTTCTAGTTCTCATATTAATGAATAGAAAAACAATGAATTCAGGAGCTTAAAGAAAAGCATTTTTCACCGCCGTCAGAGCTGCTCTTAACTAAACTGCTGTTGAATGTTTTACCCCAGTTACTCTACCCTTGAAAAACCGTGCCGAGACCGGTCCGAGCTCAGTAACTGAGATAATTTGTCATGTGTAAATGGAAATCAAACTGAACTGAACCGAGCTAGACACAACCGAACCGAGCTAACTGCAGACCAGTTCCAAAAGGTGGGCTCGGATAGGCTTTTCCCTGGCTCGGTTCTCTGAGAGCGCATGAGCAGAACGCGTCATCTC